TTGAGTGACAAGAAGCAGCATCTGTCTCTTCCCTGCCCGCCCCCCCTTGACACACACACACACACACACACATGCAGAAAAGTTTTCCAGAGAACACTGATCTCCAGAAATTCAGAGGCCACCTGCTGCCTCTGCCACCTTCAATTGCATGTGATTGGCAGCTCAGTGTCTATGAGCAATTATCACCCAGAAGTCACTTGGGTAGGGCGATATGGAGGAAGAGCTTGCAAGGTTTAAGTCAGGATGCAGTCATCCATGCAAAGCATCAAGAGGAGAACAGCGTCCAAATCAGAACAGCCACCGTAAGCGTGGTGAGAAGATTTTGCTATTTCTGCCATGGTGTTCCCAAGCAGAACACAACCCTCTTCCCCAGTACACTGAACAACACTCAAATGGCAGCAAATTTAGAAACATAGAAAGATGCTTTTCCATTGGTCCATCTAGCTCAGTACTGTCTACACTGACTCTTCAGGGTTTCAGAGAGCGGATACTTCCAGCCTTACCTAGACTGAACCCAGGACCTTCAGAAAAATGCTCTTTAAAACACATCAGGGCATGTAGTAATACCACAGTATTCTGCCTTGGTCAGACCCCACCTGGAGTCCTGTGTCCAATTCTGGGCACTACAACTTAAGAAGGATATGGACAATCTGGGACATGTGCAGATGATGTAGGGTCTGGTAACCAAACCTTATGAGGAACGGTTGAGAGAGTTGGGTATGTTTAGCCTGGATAATAAAGGGTGGTGTGGGCTTTGACATGTTTCTCTGGAAGAGGTGGTGTAGAAGGTGGGCAGCCAAGATGATGAAGGGTCTGGAAACCAAGACTTATGAGGAATAGTTGAGGTAGTTGGCTATGTTTAGCCTGGAGAAGAGAAGACTGAGAGGTGGCGTGACAGCCATCTTCAAATACCTGAAGGGCTGTCACATGGAAGATGGAACAACCTTGTTTTCTGCTGCTCCGGAGGGGAGGACCTGAACTTCAAATGATGAGAAAGGAGATTTCAACTAAACATCAAGGAAGAACTTTCTGATAGTAAGAGCCGTTTGACAGTGCAATGTACCATCGTGGAAGGTGATGGGCTTTCCTTCATTGGAGGTTTTTGAACAGAGGTTGGCTGGCCATCTGTCAGGGATTCTGACACACTCACTCACTCACTCACTCACTCACACACACACACCTTTCTGTCTGTCTGTCTGTCTGTCTGTCTGTCTAGCTATTTTTAAAATTGCAGACTGATGTGGAAATGTGACAAACGTAGTTAGTGGCTGGAGAAATGAAACAGAGAGAGACTGAAATTGACAGATTTATACATCCCTGGTTTATTTTTCCTGCTTTCCGTTACTGCCCTTGCCAATTATTCTGCAATTAGGCTGCCTTCATTAGCAAACGAGATTAAAATTAACACCGTTAATTGCTTGCTCCATTAAATCTGGGGAAGCATCCGTTGGGGAGGGGACGGACGTGCCATGGAGGGGGCTGTCAGTGCAGTTGGATCAACTTCTCCCTCCTTCTCTCTGCGCTTTCCTCAAACCTTTTGCTGGGTGACTGTGCCAGCAAATTCAACCAATTTTGGCAAGGCAGAAGGAAACGGCTGAAGCATGGAAGCTAGTAACTCAGAGCCACCTGGGTCTTCATCTTAGAGGACAAGCAGGAAAACTCATTGGGCCCTCCACAGACAGTTGCTGGCTAGATTGTCCTTCCTTTTGTTAGATGGAGGAGAGGGGAGAGTCTTTGACCCACTGTATTATTCTCCCAAAGTGGCAGGCTGGAGGCTCTGAAGCAAAATATAAACTAGACTGCCTCTGCAGCCAGCCTTTTTTCTCTCTGTGCATTAAAAAGAGCACATTCTGGAGCTATTTGTTGCCAGTGCCCATCAGGATTCAAACTGGTGACCTCAGCAATGGCCAGCCCACACTTCACCATAAATCTGTAGCTTAAAGGGGTGATCTGCAGGGAGGAGGCAAATCTATCCATTTGAGTTTCTCATTTTTCCAATCTTGAATTCAGCTGTCCACCTTTCCACATCAGTTTGCAATTTTATTTTATGTAACTAGTCCTCATGAAAATTCATCAGCAGTTGAGTGCAAATTTCCAAGATTATGCATGCCGTTGTGTGCATTTTTTGCAAAGCAATTTCCTTCTAATGTAACACATTTTGGTTTGTTATTTTTGTTAACATTTGCATCCTCATTCACCCTTTACCCTGACATGCGGTGTTGTGTGTGTGTGTGTGTGTGTGTGTTCCCCCAGTTACATGGCTGGGGAACTGCATTGCAAAATTCAGAAGAGTGAAGATTTTGGGGGGTGGCTGTGTGTCTTATTTTGGAAAGGGCAAGTTTGGGTATATTTGCCTTTAGGATAATAGAACGGCAGAATTGAAAGGTACCCCAAGGGTAATCTAGTCCAACCCCCTGAGATGTAGGAATCACAGCTGAATTGAATTCTCCCACCCCATTCCTGTTTGAGACCCATCTCACTGGCCCAGTAAACCTCGTATCAGTTAGTAGGACAAAGGCAGGTTCATTAAGCTGTCATGTGGAAGCATCATAGAGGAAAAACTGGATACAAATTGATCCATCTTTCAATCAATCAATTAATCAATCAATCAATCAATCAAATAAATAAATATTCTTTGATTGCCCTCACCAGCACAGGATCCTGGACTGACATTCACTTGTAGTGCAGCTGAGTCGATAATTATTTTCTTCTCAAAAATCCTCCTGCCAACTGTGAGCTTTGACACGGAACTTTCAGATATTTCCTGGAAAGCCACCAAATATTTGATTATCTGCGTTAGACAGCCGATGCCCTTTTTATTTCAGTCGAGGACATTGAGTTTTCATCCTTCTCTTTCCACGTTTGATATTGGTAGGCACTCAGTATTTGGCTGGGATGACTGGCAGCAAGGGCAATTAGAATGCGGAAGTATTTTATGAATGACATGCAGTACAATCTGTCACTGGGTCGTGTTTGATCATCAACATGCAATAGCACCAAGGCTGCAATCATCTTTTTCAGGTGGTGGTGGGGAGCAGATTCCACTGCTGCTACTTCACCATATCCAAAGCTCTGCTGGTTTCATCTGACTTCTCTTCCCCTTCCTTTTTATCACATTACATGTGTTAATCAGCTGAGCGATACCTCTGCTATCTGTGTCTTGTGAATGGTTCCCTATAGCACTACAGGTGTTAATACAAATCATTCCAACCGTTGCTACCAATCTGTTAGTATAAAAGGTTAATGCTGTGCCTAACTTAACATATATTTGAGTGCTAATTATCACTGACTCTGATCTTCACATCTCATTACCATCCTGCTCTCTCATACTTCCTCTATATACCAGCCAACAAAGATTTCACAGAGTGAATCTGAAAACGTGGGCTTGAGTCCACAAACACAATGATAAATTCATTAAGCTCAATTGGTCTTTTATTTAAAAGTGTGTATCTTACACAAAAAGTGCATCCAGGATATGTGCAAACTGTGTACAGTTGGATGGAATTGTGCAGGACAGGATGGAGTGACTGAATGCCAGCAAGGCTGAAATGGGATGTAATTACCTGCGTGGCTCATCCCTCCTTGAGGGCTGAGTTCCCTGGAGGGTGGGGGAATGGTTGGAGGGATACCGACCAGTGTCAGGTGGGCTGAGGTAGAAATTCTGCAAAATCCATTATCAGTAAAGCCAACATCACACAGCAAGGTTACCAAGGGTGTGGCCTGGCCACAAAACTATTAAGAACCAGTTTGGAGGAGCCTAATACTGACTGCTAGAGTTAAAAACAACTACCATATAGATGCAAGGAGGGCTCTGGATGCACAGTACTGCAAAAACAAAAACCTTGGGTTGAGTAAGTTTTTCAAGGACTGTGGTTGAATGAGAGGTGGTGGGGTGATGGGATGGCTGAAAATGGTCAGGGATAAGATGAAACAGCCTAGATGGTGCATTTTTTCCCCGTACAGGGTGTGTGTTAATGGATAAGCTCTCACAGGCTCTTTGGGACTCTGTCCTGTAATGCATTGCTGAATAAAAAGGCTGACTAATTGGGAATATGGTCTGAGCCCCCCAAAGTACTGAACCCCCAAAAAGGAATTTTCTCTCACAGGGTCAAAGCAAGAATCGAATGGAACACCCCACACACACCACCCGTAATACATTCTCTCTCTCTCTCTCTCTCTCTCTCACACACACACACACACACACACACACACACTCATCTTCTCTCCTCTTCATTAACACATCTATTTTGGAAAGAGGTCTGTCCATCCGTTAGTTCTCCTTAGGTTAAAGACATCATCATCAAACTCAGTACAAGTGTTTCCAAAGCTGAGTGCTGGTCGCTGTTGACATTTCAACACCAGATGCCATTTTGAATCAAGATGGAGGACCAAAATGCAACTTTGGCATACAGGGTTTTCCCCCTCCTCAATGAATCCCCCGTAACTCTTTTTTATTTCTGCCATAGGTTCAGCCACCTCTAGATAGCATCACAGGAAATGGCATGAGACTTCCCAGGGTGGGGATGGACTTCATCAATATTTGGATACCAGGTACCATTTTGATTCGAGCTGGCAGGTGAAAACATGACTTTGGTGTACAGGGTTTCTCACATCTTCATTGAATCCCCACAAAAACCCCGTGAAGTAGTTTAGGCAGAGAGGCAGTGACTGGCTTCCAAAGTCACAAAGTGAACTTCATGGCTGAGTGGTAGAGCTACCACACTCCCAGGGTGATCTGAAGTCTCTAGGTATGCCTGAATCCCTTGAGGTGGCCAGGGGGTGGAGGGATTGAATTTCCATTTACATAGACTGGGAGTGAATGATCTCTGCTCCTTCCTCCCCTCTCCCAATTAACCTCCATCTCCGGGGCTTAGTAGTGAGAGGGAGTTCAGAGGAAGAATCACCAGGGTCTCCCCTGTGACATTACCAGAGATCACCCATTAGGTCCCAGGTTTGGGCCTCAAAATCCCAGGGTCTGGAATGAATGCTGCTGACCTGGCAACCCTACCAAATGGGGATTCGAACCCAGGTCCTAGTCCATCACCCTAACCACTATGCCACTCAGGGCACCCCACCCCACCTGCCATAGTAGGAAGCATTCTGCTAGCTGCTCTAAGGTGGTCCACAACTGAATCACTTTCAAGTTTTTCCCATTCTAGGGCTCAGCAAGGCATGCTACTTGCTGCTGGAAAGAGGGACTGATGGGCCAGGGATCAGAGCCAAAGAACCAGACAGATCACCAGATGGGTCCAGTCATTTTCCATCCACATTTCAAGCTCAAAACACAAAGGCAGAGAGAGCACAAGGAAGAGGGCCATGGAATGCTGTCAGGAGCAGAGACAGTTCTAGAGTCGGACTCATTATTTCTTGCAACTTCCCCTCATCTCACAACGTCAAGTGAGGGCCAGAGCAAAATATGCAATGTGATGCCCAGGCTGATGTGTCTTGTTCTTACTGGGCAACCTAAGCAACGCCAAGGTGAGCAGCAACCAGGGCCAGTCCCATACATTCTTCTACAAATTGATATAGTGTTATTGTCCTAATACAGTGGTACCTCGGGTTACAGACGCTTCAGGTTACAGACGCTTCAGGTTACAGACTCCGCTAACCTAGAAATAGTGCTTCAGGTTAAGAACTTTGCTTCAGGATGAGAACAGAAATCGTGCTCCGGCAGCGTGGCAGCAGCAGGAGGCCCCATTAGCTAAAGTGGTACCTCAGGTTAAGAACAGTTTCAGGTTAAGAACGGACCTTCGGAACGAATTAAGTACTTAACCCGAGGTATGACTGTACAGTGGTATGACAAACGCTGTGGATTGTGTGTTTTCAGGTTGCGGACCGTGCCGAACCCGGAAGTACCGGAACGGGTTACTTCTGGGTTTTGGCACTCACGCATGCGCAGAAGTGCAAAATGACATCACGCGCATGCGCAGATGCGGCGCTTCAGGCTGCAAACACTGCAGGTTGCGAACGTGCCTCCCACATGGATCACATTTGCAACCAGAGGTATGACTGTACATATGTGGGTGTTAATAGCCTACTACATTTTGTATAAACTCATTCCCAATGTTGTCATGTTGATCCAAACAAAGTCAACATCTGTAAGCAGTCCGTTCATAAGTTGCAAGTGTTGTCATGTTGTCAGTCCACTGATTAAAGGGTATCATATCTTTATTCTTCCAATTCATCAGTATGAGTCTCTTGGCCAACTTGAATAAAATATTGGGGGGCAGGCAAGCTCCACCCCACATAATTGATCACAAGATGTGGCAGACAAACCCCATCTGAACGGCAATGCTCATCAACTTTGGGGGACCCTCTCACATATTTTATTGGGAGGGGTGAGCAAAGGGACCTCATCCCCTAGGAGTTGGCACCTATGATGGCACCCATCAAGCAGGAGACAGAGGCACCCATCTTTCGGCACCCACAACTTCTGTTGAAGCATTAGGGATGAGGGAACGCTCTCAACGTCACTCTGCGCTCCTGCCCTCAAAGACCTGAAAGAGCCTCCTTTCCTCCCAACCTCGTTAATAGGCACTTGTGTTTCTGATGGCGTCTGCATTGCAAATCAATGCTCGGGTCCCGCACAGTTCAGGGCCATGCATAATGCAGTGTACCTGCACATCATATAATAGCGCTCATTATTAAACATGCCTGTTAGCTGCAGCGCTGCTCCCGAAATCTGAAATAAGAGTCCGTCTCGTGCCCTGAAGGCTTGGGGTTTTGTTCAAGGCATGCAGGCTTCCAAGAAGACGCCTTGCCCAACTGGAAAGACAAGGTCAGTGCTACTAGGCATGTGCCAGATGTGTCAGAATGCGCCTCAGAAACAGAGGTAACACCTTTAGAAGAGATGCCTGATGTGATGCAGAAACATAAGGAGCTGCCTTGCACCAAATCAGACCCCCTCGGCCCATCTAGATCAGTACTAGGATCCTCGTACCTACGGGACCACCTCTCTCAGTATGCCCCACGGAGGACCTTAAGGTCCATAAATAGCAACACCCTAGAGGTCCTGGGCCCTAAAATTAGCCTCAACCAGAGCCAGGGCCTTCTTAACACTGGCTCCGGCCTGGTGGAATGCTCTGTCTCATTAGACCAGATCCCTGTGGGATCTGATTTCTTTCCACAGGGCCTGTAAGACAGAGTTATTCCGCCTGGCCTTTGGCTTGGAATCAGCTTGATCCCCTTCCCCTCTTTCCTTTTTCCTTTCCCCTTTTGTGATGGAACTCCTATGTGCGGACTTCCCTGCTTTTTTTCTGGCCCACGTTGGACCAGTCTGGATAGTGGCCTTGGTGAAGATTTGACGTTTTCATCCCCAAAAAGTTTTTGACTTGAGTTTCTACTGAAATGAGGCTGCATTTTAATGTTGTATTTTAATCAATTATTTTTATACCTGGTGTTATCTCTATACCCTGAGCCCGGTCTTGGCTGGGGAGGGCGGGGTATAAATAAAATTATTATTATTATTATTACTACTACTACTACCTGCACTGAGAGGCAGCAGCTCTCCAGGGTTTCAGGCAGGGGACGTATCCAGCCAAGCCTGGAGACGCCATGGGGGGCCTTCTGCATGCAAAGGAGGTGTTCTGCCACTCAGCTACAAAGGACTTTGCTATGCAGGGCTCCAGGTAACCTGGGGGACACCTTTTAACAAGGCTTCTAGAATATCCATCCTAGTTGTCTTATTGATATGTTGTTGTTTAAACTGTTTTTTTAGAAATAGCCAGTGTGGTATAGTGGTTAGAGCTTCAATGGCCGCAGTGCTTCCTCTCTCTTTGGAGAGGAGCCTATCATGGATGGTGCGCCATGCTTGGCTCAGCAGTTCAGCATCCACCACCCCATCAAAACAGCAGGTGGAGATGAGCCCCCTGCTAAGGAACATTGAGGGGGCTGATGACACATCCACCCCCTAGAATTGGCATGCTTGAACCTTGGGCTAGTCACAGCCTCTCAGCTAACCCACCTCACATGGTTGTTGTGAGGATAAAATGGGGGAGGGGATTAGATTTTTTAAAAAGGTGGACTGTAAATGCAACAGATAAATAAAGAAATAAAATATATTTATGGTTGCTGTTATTTAATTTCATAAAATTTACATTCCGCTTGATTTTCAAAACAAAAAAACCCCCCTCAAAGTTGTTAACTGAAATATACTCGGTGTCGAGAGTGGATTTCATGCTCTTTATTCAGCTCATAGTGGTGAGGAGGAATGGAAGTTCCCCCAGAATGTCTGCTTTATATACATTATTTACACAATGGGCTCCACGTGATTGGCTAATTCCTGTAGGCCAATCAGGTTGTGGATTCACTTCCACCTTGAGCTGGACTGGGTGGCTCCTGTGGCCCAATCAGACTGCTGCATTCTGAATCCTATTGTTCTAGGACCAATCAGACTGCTGCATTCTGAATCCTATTGTTCTAAGACCAATGTGACTGCTGCCTTTTGGATCCTATTCAACTCAGTACATAACACCAACAAAGAGAATAAAACAATAACATTATGAGTAAAAAGAGAGAACTCTTTCAAACCTTTGAAAGATAAAATGGGCAATGGACTAGCTATTCGTTTCATTTAAAAATAATAATATTGCTTTCAGTACGCTATTGTGTTGTAAATGGTGCTGAGATGGTGCATGGGGAGAGACGCATAAATCAAATTGATAATAATAATAATAACAATTTTCTTAAGTTCCTAGGTTCGCATGTAAGTTAGACCCATAAGTTATAGGTGCCCCACCCTCTTAATTCTGCTCTTGCACTCAAGTCTGGGAATGGGTTACACTGAGGGCCCTGGGCGTGCCTCAGATGCAACACCAACACAAGGGTTCAAGTGAGTGAAATGTCAGCTGCGAGGCTGATTTCCATGCACCTGACAGCCCCATTCGTAACAATGCCTAATTAGCAAAGCTTTCAAGCAGCCGCTGCATTAATTTAACGCGGAAATCTCAGAGAGCTGGATTGGATTTCCTCCCCCCGCCCATCATCTTCTGCCTGTAAAATTAACCTAGGGGGCTCCCTACACATGTTTTCATTAGGGAAGGCACACCGAGGTAGGGGGTGGGGAGGAAGAAGGTCATTGATGAATTTGAATAATAACTTTAATCTTTGTGCTTAATTTCTCTCTCGCGTGCTCTTTCCCGAGTTATTTTGATTATAAAAGCTTCAGAGAGTTCTCAATCTCTCATTCATATATATATATACCCTTGCTAATAGCTTTAATATATGGATCCAGTCTCTCAGTTCTGTGGCTGGAGGGAGTAGCTATTAAATGAAATCCTTTCGGTGTCAATTTTATGAATGACACGTGAAAAAGAACACACAGAGAAAGACTCGCCAGTTAGAAACTTGGAGGTCATCTAGAGGAGAGGGTTATTATTATTATTTTTGGATTTGATATCCCACTTTATCACTACCCGAAGGAGTCTCAAAGCGGCTCACAATCTCCTTTCCCTTCCTCCTCTACAACAAACACTCTGTGAGGTGAGTGAGGCTGAGAGGCTTCAGAGAAGTGTGACTGGCCCAAGGTCACCCAGCAGCTGCTTGTGGAGGAGCGGGGAATCGAACCTGGTTCACCAGATTACAAATCTACCGCTCTTAACCACTACACCACACTTGCTCTCACTATTGATGGCTTCTATTGATGGCTCTCACTACTGATGGCTTCTAGCCACAATGGCTCTGCTCTGTCTCCAGAGTCGAGGGCAGCAATGCTTCTGAATACCAGTTGCCGCAAACTGCAGGAGGGGAGAGGGATCATGCGCTCAGTTCCTTCTTTGTGGCATCTGTTTGGCCACTGTGAGAACAAGATGTTGAGCAAGATGGACTATTGACCTGACCCACCAGGCTCTCCTTATGTTCCGGCATTCTATTTCTGGCATTCCTGAGCCACCCCAGGCTCATTTGGGAGGAAGTTTGGCCTATTAATTGAACAAATTGTTGTTAGTGTTCCTATTAATACTCTACAGCCATTTATTTATTTATTTAATAAATTTTTATTAGTTTTTTTAACATACCATTTTAAACAGTAATTAAACCTACTTTTACATCTTATACAATTTTTGACTTCCA